TCTCATATTCAAGATTTAAAAATCCACATTAAGTGACTCTACTGACTGAAAATTTACGTCCCTTAAAAAACATATTAAAGTGGATTTTATCAAGATAAATCTCGAATTCTAAGGAAATTAATCACCCACAAGGACTGAAGATTATTCTTTAAATCGGAATATCTAAAGACCGATTTCGGATACCAAAAAAATTATGAACTAAAGGTTCAAAACTCATTCGGTTTATCTCAAAAAAACATATAGAAAAGTACCTTTATTTAAAAAAAAACCAAAAAGTACATATAGAGACAAATTACAGAACACAGACGTCACAACTTTTTAGTTTTTCTCTTCTTAAAACCATATGAGCAACTACAGTTCCCAGGCTTTCTCTTCTTTGTTCCAAGAGGATTGACATAATGATCTCCTTCTTCATCGAGTCCCATTGCTGCCAAAACTATCTGAACCTCCGTAACAATTTCCTTGATAAAATCAGCTTCAGAGCTGCGAATAAAGTTTACACCTTATTATTAATCTATATAATATCTTTGATATATTGAAGGAACAAAAGAAACATACGAGTCGGAGAGTTAGTGTAAGTACCTCTTGTCTCCCAAAGACAAACCCGCCTTGTCGGAGATACACTCGAGAGCATCTTTCCATTTCTTAATCTGATCTCCACTAGAAGCCTTTGCGAGAGACCAGAACTTGTCACCAAACTCACCATCTTGTCCTCTCACCTCTTGTGGTTTTACCTTGTAAAATATTGGAACGACTTGGAGCTTTCCTTTATCCACAAGTTTCTTAATCTTCACTAACTCATCCATGCACCACCTAGACTCCGGATACCTATTATAAAGAAGAAGTGGTTCTTGAATCATAAAGAAGACGTGGTTCTTGAATCCTCCGGTTAATGGCTGATTGATTATTATGAACGTGAAAGAATTTGAACCTGGTAGAGAAGATGACCAGCGCGATCCTTGACTCTTGTATCCTTACAAATAGATTTTTAAGGTCTTTTCCTCTCAGCTCGTATTTGTCTAAGAAAAAATCGATCGTGTGCCTCTCAAAGGCATTAACGAGGTGGCTCACGAAGTTGTAACGCAGTTGCTCTCCACGGTAATTTATGAACACTTGATGGCGTTGAATGGGAGAGAAGAAGGTCATTGGATATGAAACTGGCAAAGGATCGATCGAAGATGTGTGAATTATAGAGAGGGAAGTGTTACAATGCTTTTATAATGGGCGCTGGCACTGAAAATTTCTTCGTTTTGCTCAATGATAGTTACGTTGTCTTCAACAGTGTCATTTCTAAGTTTCAAAAAAAAAAAAAAAGTAGTGTCATTTCGATGTCCGGACAGTGATTTACGAATCAAATCAAGACAAAGGCGATTTACGAATGTCCGAGTCTTCTGACCAAAACCAACCCAAAAATTTCAAACTATTCAAAACTAAATCCAAAAATTCAAAACCTAATTTTATCCCCTAAAACTATATCTTAATTTTATAATAGTTAATCCAAATCCAAAAATTTAAACTACAAACCTTTGAAAATTATTTTTTGTGTTTGTAGTATTTTAAAAACATTTAATAAATGATAGTATTTTTAAGGGTTTTTTACTTCAAAAAAAAAAAACCCTTAAAAATACTATCATTTATTAAATGTTTTTAAAATACTACAAACACAAAAAATAATTTTCACTTTATACATCACATCTTAAATTTATACACACTTTCTATTATCAACACACTTTACTTTTTGAATTTATACACACTTTCTATTACATTTATAAACA